TGATAAGGAGCGCTATCAATGGCTTGTGGGGAAATTAATTTATTTAGCTCATACACGTCCTGATATTGCGTATGCAGTGAGTGTAGTGAGTCAGTTTATGCACTCGCCTAGTGAAGACCATATGAGAGCTGTGACACGTATTTTGAGATATCTCAAAGTAACTCCTGGCAAGGGGTTAATGTTTTCCAAGTATGGTCATACATATGTGGAAGGGTACACAGATGCTGATTGGGCAGGTTCAGCTACAGATAGGCGTTCGACATCTGGGTATTTTTGTGTTTGTTGGTGGCAATCTTGTTACGTGGAGGAGCAAGAAACAAAAGGTGGTGTCTCGATCTAGTGCTGAGGCCGAATATCGAGGGATGGCCCATGGTGTATCTGAGTTACTATGGTTGAGGAAATTGTTGAGAGACCTTGGTTTTGGGCCTAAGAAACCCATGGATTTATATTGTGACAATACAACTGCGATTGCAATTGCTCATAACCCTGTACAACATGACCGTACAAAGCATGTGGAGGTTGATCGAAATTTCATTAAAGAAAATTTGGATGCGGAGATTGTTTCCTTCCCCTTCATCCATTCTGAGTATCAGTTAGCCGATGTTCTTACGAAAGCTGTTTCTACAAGTATCTTTCTAAACTCGCTTGACAAGTTGGGCATGCGTGACGTCTTTGCTCCAACTTGAGGGGGAGTGTTAGCGAGATATCCTATTCTATTAGGATTTTATTTATTTATTTCCTTTTGTATAGATATTATGTAATTAGGATTCTCTTATTTCCTAGTTCAACCCTACTAGGGTTTGTAACCTTGTATATAAATACCTCCTTTCGGAGAATGAAATATATCAGAAAATATTCTACCATATTATTTGACTCATCCCAGGAAGATAGATACAAGACAATATTATGTTAGCTCATGAGGCTTTTCATGCTCTGAAAATCCGAAAAAAGACAAAAGTTTATGAGATGGGGCTCAAGTTAGACATGAATAAGGCCTATGACAGAATTGAATGGGATTTTGTGAACGAAGTGTTGTTAAAAATGGGGTTTAATCAAACGTGGGTGAGCCTGGTTATGAGGTGTATTACCTCAGTTCGTTTCACTGTGCTCCTAAATGGACAGTCGAGGAATCCTTTCAAGCCGTCTAGGGGCCTTAGACAGGGGGACCCTATTTCCCCATATATCTTCATCCTAGTCAGTGACGTCTTATCAGTTATGCTAAACAAAGCAGTGGAGAGGGGTATTGTGCAAGGGATCAGATTTAGTAGTGATGGTCCTACTTTATCCCATTTATTCTTTGTAGATGACTCTATTCTGTTCCTAAAGGCTACTGAACGAAATTGCACCGCTGTAACAAGTATTTTGAATTCTTATTGCCATGCCTCGGGGAAAGTGGTAAGCTTTGAAAAATCAAGTGTTTACTTTAGTCCAAATACTCCTCAGCAACTCAGGGAGATAGTGGGGCACTCACTGCATGTCAACATAACTGATAACCCAGGGAAGTATTTGGGCTTACCAACAATGTGGGGTAGATCAAAGCATGAGGCGATGAATTTTGTGAAAGAAAGAATGATGAGCAAAATGGTGGGCTGGAAGCAGAAACTGCTCACTCATGCTGCTCGTGAAATCCTTATAAAAGCTGTGGCCCAAGCAATTCCCACTTATCCCATGTCTGTGTTCCTATTCCCAGGAGGTCTTTGCAGAGAGTTGGATGGGATCCTTGCCAAATTCTGGTGGGGGGGAAATGAAGAAAAAGATAAAATCCACTGGATCAGCTGGGCGGAGCTGGGAATGCCCAAATTGGAGGGTGGTATGGGTTTCCGAAACCTTCATGATTTCAACCTGGCCTTACTTGCTAAACAAAGCTGGAGATTGCTTACTGATCAAAATTCGTTTTGGGCTCTGATGATGAAGAGCAGATACTTCCCTTCTTGTAATTTTCTTAAAGCTAGCAAAGGAGCTCGAGCATCTTGGGCGTGGGCAAGCATGCTAGAGGGCAGAGAAGTGATCATTAGGGGATCTCAATGGAAAATTTTAAATGGAACCAGAGTTAGACTATAGACTGATAAATGGTTCCCTATGTCACCAGACGGTTTGCTACATCCTATTAATGAGGAGTGGGTTGATGAAAATAGTTTGTGTCGGAAATTATTAATCCCATCACAAAAAGTTGGGACTTATCAAATCTCACTGGTAGCATATTGGATCAGGATGCTCGAAGGATACAAGCCATGCCTGTGGGAGGAGGTGGCGAAACCGACCGGTTGGTTTGGCCTTTCAATGTGTCTGGCTGCTACTCTGTTAAAACTGGATATAATCTGATTCATCCTTGCCAACATCTCACTCAAAGGAAAATGCGTGCCTCAGGGTCTCATTGTGTGTCTAAGAAAGTGTGGAAGCTAATTTGGTGTTCCCCTTTAACCCCAAAAATAAAAAACTTCATGTGGCGTGCGGTAAAAGGTTGCCTTCCCACAAAGGCTCTCCTCTTCCGCAGGAACTTGGGATTCTCCCCCTTGTGCCCGGTCCGTGAAAAAGAGCCAGAAACTATCGAGCATTTACTGCTGCACTGTACTTGGACTTCAAGTGTCTGGTTTGGAAGTTCGCTAAGTTATTGTGTGGATATGCAGAGGATCACTACATTTGACGAGTGGCTGCTTGGTGTGACTAGTAAGTTGGATAAGTCATATTTTAATTGGGTGTTGGTTCATATCAGTTTTACATGCTGGAGTCTTTGGAAAAGCAGGTGTGCCTTCGTTTTTGAAGGGAAAGATGTTTGCCCAAAGCAAACTATTGATTGGGGCAGACTTCTAGCTTTAGAATTATTGAAGGTTGTAAATTTTAATAGTCACGGAGCGGAGGAGCCTAATTCTCAGGTGGTTGTTACAAACCAGAGATGGCTTCCTCCCCCCCCAAGCTACTCTTAAGCTAAATGTGGATGCGGCCTGGGACAAAAAGACTTTAACTGCTGGCTTAGGGGCTGTCACTCGTGATGAGTATGGTAATTTCATCAGGGGAGCAGGTAAGGTTAGACTGGCCTCTTCTCCCATTGAAGCAGAAGCCCATGCAGCTTTATTTGGTCTGGAGGTAGCCCCATATTTGGGTAGCATTCATCTACAGTGTGAGTCTGATTCAAAGGAGCTGATTCAAAGTGCTAATGGAAATATACAAAAAGGTAGATGGACAATCTACCCAATTCTTGCTGCTCTAAAGGAAAAGTGCAGACTTTTCGGCTCTTGCTCCTGGAAGTGGATCCCACGGAAAGCAAACAAAGCAGGAGATGCTGCAGCCTTAGAAGCAAAGCGGAAGATGTGCGACGAGGTCTGGATCAACCGACCCCCATTCTCCCTGGTTTTTGTGCTACAAAGCGATGGTCTTCCATGTCCTCCACAGGTGTAAAGTTTTTGTCTAGTTAGGACCTGACGCTCGCCCTCCGGGGTGGCATCCTAGTTGTATTGTCCTAGCTGGAGGTTTTTTACTGTTTTTTTTTCTGAGCTTATCCAGTGTGGTCAGGTTTCTTTCGCCCTTTGTTGCGTAGCACAGGGGTTCGCTGTTGTTTGCTTGGCTTCTGTTTGTGTTTTGGCAGCGTTGCTGTTAGCGTTGGGCTGTTAGTTTGGTTGCTGTTTGCTTTGTCTCCTTTCCCTCAATGAAAGTGTGTTTCGAGCAAAAAAAAAAAAAGACTTTTTCTTTTTAATTTACAAAAAGCGTATTTAGATACTGGCAGTAAAAAAAAGTTGCTTGATGCGTACAATTTCTTGGTAGAAGATTTTCAATAATTATCTGCAATTAATAACAATTTCTTGGTCATCTATAAATTAAATATTACCAAAAAAACACAAGTATGATACAAGCACTCGAAAACGATATAATTCTAGACATAAAGTACAATACAAGCACTCAAAAACACAAGTTAAATAAATAAATAAAAAAATGGGATCTCCTAGTCACTCGGAAGGTTACCAAATATTTAGTGTACTAAATTACCATACATACATACATATGTAGAAGGAGGGAGGGAGATCAGGGGTCCAAGTTTAAGGTCCACGACTGTTCGTGTTTGGAGACTACCTTTAGCAAGTCCTTGGCTGAGAGAGCAAAGCCTTCTACTTTTGTATGACATCTCACATTTTCGTTGCTGGTAGGAAGGTTGTCAATCCCAGTTTTGTTGGGCGATGCCCACTTCAGAAGCTCTTCTCCATAAACATTACCTTTCTCAAGTTCGTTGGTGGCCATTGATGTGGATGGGGATGGGGCAGCACCAGAATCTTTTGTTGTTTCTTCACCACGTGCAAAGCTAGGATTAGGAGTTATGCTGCTGTAGGTCAATACAGTGCCTTCTATAATGAGAAGCATGCGATCAATTGGGCCCCCCATTGGAAATATGATGTGCTCTGCTGCGTAAGTCACTGGCGTCAGACAGTCGCACATCATTTTCAGCACTGTGGCATTCATAAGTTTAAGGAGTTCAACCTGTATATAAAATTGATCGATATTTAAACACAAAGCAAGATTCATTCATCTATATAAGTTCGGGATTCCATATAAGTTCAACGATACAAATTAATTCCTTGAAAATTGGACTAATGTGCTGGTCTCTGTTTGGTAAATCTATAAATGTTGGATTTGAACTGATTAAACCGGATAACAATCCAATGTGTTATTTCTTAAGTCTCATCTAAGGAGATGAGACTTATAAGAATAAGGTTGGTCTCAATTTAATCCAAACCGAACCATCAAATGAGGCGTATGAGTGATGGAAGACCAAGGCAACTCATGTACTTCTTAGGTAGCCAAAATTTTATTTTTAATAAATAATATACATACAAATACTTAAGAGAGAGAGAGAGAGAGAGAGAGAGAGAGATACTTGTGACAGAAAGTTCGAACAGAGATGATGCTTTAGATATTTTTTCATATAACCGGGAAGAACATTGAATAGATTCTCCAGATCAGCATCTTTGTCTTCTTCCAATTTTTTATGTATGATTTTCATGATTTCCTTCTTCATTCCATCACCAATATCATATTTCTTCATCCACGTGTCTATCTCTCCTTCTTTTGATTTAATCTTCTTCCTACTTTCCTCCGATTGTGTGGTTCTCATCTGAATGAATGTCTGAAGATACATTTCAGCACAAAATACTAAATTAGAAGTGTATATCAATGATCCGAACATCTAACTTTCAAGTATTCCTAAAAAATCTATGTTAAAAATCACTTTATTCTAAAACCATTTGACAATCAATTAATGATTATCATTTTAGTATTTTAGTAATTTCTTAAAACACTGTGTTCGTTTGTTCTATTAATTCAAACTTGATGCCTTATTGGTTTTCAAGGTTTAATTTTTTGAAAGGACGCAGGCACACAATTCGGATAGTTGAAATAAAAATTTTAGTGAACCCCACAGTGTTATGTCAAAAGGGATATATATATTTACGTAAAAAAGAGGTTGGCCCTTGTTGAAGCTGAAGGAAAATAATTGAAAGTAAACTAAATAGATATTTAGCAGAGATTCATTACCAACCTGAACATTTCCAATTAGATATATAAATAGTAGTAAGCCAGTGATAGAAATAAGAATTGTAAACAAGTTTTCCCACACATAATTACTTGTTGTTGTGAGATTCGTGCCAAAGTTGCTGCAAAAAATAATTAAAATGTGAGATACTAATGAATGGCCGAAGAAGGAATTTAGGTTGCTAAAAAAAAGTAGTCATATTAATATATATCATATACAATAGGAACTAAGAAAATTTACGACCCATAATAATAAACTAAAACCATTGTAATATAAAAAAGTACTTTGAGATATGATATTTATTACTTATTAAAAGGATATCATATTTTATTGAAGACTTCTTTTGTTACATTTTTTTTTTCTTATAGTAGACAAATATATATTTCTTTGATTAATAGGGGATACAAAATAAAATCTGAAATTTTCAAATAAATATGCTCGTGCAAACCTTAGATTTCTCAGGCCCCACCAGAAAGAGTAGGCTAACTTGTTTGGAAAAGTAGAATTATTCCCCGCGTTACCAGACTTAAGGGCATCAATAAATATTCCATATTCAAACGGCGCTGTATCATTGTATGGAACATCTATTTTGCAATGTTCATCCAAAAAAGTGGTAATATCTTTTGTTGACGTACTCTGATCATGACAATAAAAGATAGTCTTGCATCCTTCGTATGTAATATTGTTTTGACAAGCCTGGTACCAACATGAGGTCTCTCGTTGAATGGAAAAGAAGTACCAAAAAGCTCCAAGAACCTATTAACATCATAATTAATTAATTAATTGTTAGAGCAATTGCATTGACACCTAAACTCACCCTACTTCATCACTAGTCACTTTCCAATCATGGAGTTATTGTAAATGAAACTAAACTTCATCAAGCAATATTTATTAGTAAAGTATGTATGTACACTAAAATGAAATGATATGGAAAGTGAAACTTACATGGCCAGCAAGAATGTAAAGAAACAAATTGAATAGGGCTTTGACCCTTATTCTGATGGTCCTTGTAAGTTCAGTAGAAGATAAGATAATTCGATAAATTCTTGGCAAATATTGGCAGAGAAGAAAAAAGTTGACAATCGTTTCCTTCCATTCTAAATATCCCGGCCTTCTCGGTTTGAAAAAAAGCTTTACTACTAGAAGCTGCACAAAAGAATAACAGTAATGGGTTAGAAGTCCATAGTAATTAAAGCTGCCTAGCTCATAATTTACACCAAAAATTTGAATTTCTCTTATTACTTGTGGCATGGGAAAAACAGAGAGAAGGTCAGTCACCAAAGAACACCACTTCAACTCCCGAGCTAATATCACAGCAAATGGAATGATCTCATCTCTTCTTATGAACGTCGCTTGCCAATCCAATTCCCATGTTTCCTTCCCTTGGTTGATCTCCTTGTAGGCATTTTGAACACCTTCATAGATTTGATATCCAATATCCACCAAGAAAGTAATATCCGTTAGAAATCGCAAAACCAGAGCCACATTCTTCAACTTTTTGTCCATTCCAAGGCATTTCTTTCCCTCATCGATGAATGGAATGTATAAAAACAAGGGATCTAGGGAAATTGCAATTAGACATGAAATTACAATCATCTTGTTCCAGAATGAAGCTGAAAGATGTGTTCTTTCCCATTTCTTTGCTAAAAGTTCTCTAACTTTGGATGGGAGACATCGTGCCAGTTTACCTGGTGCGTCGCTAATTAAAAGAAAAGTGCAATCAGAAAATTGAGATAAGTATAGACTTAACAAATTAGAGTATATCTAACCCAAAATCAAATAACAAGTCAATTAAAATACATTATGATATCGTAGAAAGTGAGATGATACTCAGTGGGGCACGCCAAATAATCATCTTATATTGTTAAATGGCTACATCAAGCAAAAACTAACCTTATGATTTTGGTCAGATGATCAACACGGCGCTGTAGAGACATAACTTCAAGAGCATACAGAAACCTACAGAAGCCTTTGAACGTAGATAGTGAGAGAGTTTACATATATTTATTTCAAGAAATTAAGCTTCAACTGATAAAAGCACTTACCACGCTATTTACTGGATGCAATGGCAAGAGGATAAGAGAATAGGGATGATCTTTTTTCGTTTTTCGATTTTTTGTTTTCTCTTTTGGGTCAATAAAACTTCATCAGATGAAGAGAATAAGGATGATCTGTGAGGAGAGAGGGATTCTGCTAGTTAACAAAAGCTGTGGGCTTATTAGGCAATTTCGTGAAGTTTATAAACAGGGGCAATGACTTCTGTTTACATTCGTTGACTGACCAAGACTTTGTTTTCCGACCCCATTAAAAAAAGGACCTAGAACTGATTTATTACTGACAAGACCTCTTTTCGTAACATTTCAAAGAAATAATAGAGAAAACCATGGTGCACGGCCTTAAGTTGCACGTACGTTTACAAAAAGTCTTCCTGCATAAATTGAGAAAACACTATACAAATACTTGCGACACACGACCTCATGCCAGTCATATCTCCATCCATAGAATCTTTGTTCACAATTGATCTTGACTAGACCAAATAGTGATGGAGATGGAATTGATTCGTGCTTATCTAAAAGCTGATGATATTTCACAATTGAAGTAGTCTTCCCTTTATTTTTATATTGTGGGGGTTAAATAATTCACATGGTCCTCCATCGGTACAAATTTGTCCATTGCAATAATGTTGTCTGGGTCGTCACTAACTTCTTGCAAGTCCATGGAATATCCAATATAATTTAGTCCCACATATATGGCAAGTGGATAAGAGAATAGGGATGATATTATTTCCCCTTTTTTTTGGGTCAATAAAACTTCAACAGATGAAGAGAGATGGTTCAGAAGTTGGTCTCTAAAGATGGTTTTTCTAGCATGACTCTAAATATTTTAACAAACAGATAAAATTTCCTTTTATAATCTTTAACATGTAAGAGTCATTCTATAATAAGGGCCTTATATATGGTCCTTAAGAGAGGTCCTAGCTCTTAACATTTAGATTGGGCACCCATACCATACCATGTACATGTCTCATACCACCAAATATTGATTAACCATATATGTTGTTAACTTTACATTTTTTGACCCAAAAATAAAATAAAAAATTAACACCTTGTTTGGACAATGCTGCTAAAATATATACTCCCTTTATTCCCACTAGCCTCTTAAAATTAAATATTTAATATATTCTTTTAGAAGGAATATGTTTGAGATAATTTTAAAAAATAAGAAGCAATGAAAAATTAAAAACAAAAACAAAAACAAAATCAAATTGTTCAATGAACTACTTAACTTTTTTTTTTATTCAACATTTTGTTTTTACTATTTTATCTTTTATTAATTAAGTTATTTTGTTTTATAAACCTAATTAACAAAGAGGATTTCTTCGCCACCCAATGGAGCTCAATTTCGGATGTACATGTGTTGCAGTCGACACCAATTGGAACAAGCATCAGAACATAATGAAACAAGGTCAAGAAATTGACCTATGAAAATGAGCAAAATATAAATTCAATTCAATAATGCATTTTTAGCTCAAATTAATTCTAACTAAAGTAAAACCTATAAAAACACAAAAAGAAAGTAAAATGCTATAAAAGACTAAAAACTAACTCAAAAAAATAGGGTGAATAACATGATAAAAGCCATATAGTGTACCTAGAATACCCAAAAATTACTCCCCAATGAATATTATTATGAAATTATGTAAAATTATCTGGAATTTGTCTTCAGAAACCCTATTTCTGTTAACCTGTAAAACTTACGATTTCTTTTTCATCATAAGATGTTTTTGGTGTTTTGTACTGTTGGGTATTTCTTTTTTTATTTTTTATTTTTTGTTAAAAATTATGGGATTGCATTCATAATTCAGCCAAAAAAGCCAAGCCACAAAGGGCCATTATAATTACGGAGCGATCTAACATCAAAATTAAGACAATTTGGGGCTCCTCCATTAACGATCACGCAGGATCGAAGAAACTCTGGCATAGACATCCTAATTAAGAGTGCAAACTCAGAACAACCAAAAGGAGATAAAGCTTGCAAAAAACCAAGCCATAAGAATACAAATAAAAAAAACTCTCATAAATGAGAGGTGAAAACTACACAGAAACCTTAAAAGAGTCTCTATGACTTATTCTAAAAATGAAGTAACCGCAAAAAATATAGTGGTAGAGATCTGACACGAAACACGAGTAGAGATCCGAAGCCGAGACGCATTCGCCTATGATGAGTGAAGGAAAATCATAACAAAATGAAGACAAATAGGGGAACCTTATGTCTATGAAAATGGGGGAAGAGAGAAGAATGGAGGAAGGGCACTACTACAAAAAAGGCAAAAGACGACGGGAATTCACCGTCGTAAAATCGATCGACGTCTTTTGCAAAGTAAAACCACGACGCGAAATCCCCGTCGTTGTTATGACAAACAACGTCATTAACAAAAAAAACCCACGTTTGTATTCTGAAAAATGAACATAAAAATTGTCCAGGAGAAGAATAGACGACCTATTTTATACAATATCCGTCGTGTAAAATAATACAATACGTCTTTAAATAAATAAAATATGACGTTATTAAATCATACGACGTCCAATATATTTATATAATCGTCGTGAAATAGTATTGCCACTTCGTTTTTTCCACTAATATTGACGTGGAAATGGCAGTTAGGGTAAATCACCGTCGTTGTTCTAACAAACAACGTCATTTACAAAAAAAAATCGACGTCTGTACACTAAAAAATGAACCAAAAAATTGTCATGGAGAAGAATAGACGACCTATTTTATACAACATCCGTCGTGTGAAAGAAAACAATACGTCTTTAAATAAATAAAATATGACGTTATTAAATCATACGACGGCCAATATATTTATATAACCGTCGTGAAATAGTATTGTTACTTCAGTTTTTCCATTAATATTGACGTGGAAATAGCGGTTAGGGTAAATCACCGTCGTTGGTGTAACAAACAACGTCCTTTACAAAACAAAACCGACGTCTGTTTACTGAAAAATGAACAAAAAAATTGTCATTTAAAAGAATAGACGACCTATTTTATACAAACACAGTCGTGTGTATATATATACTACGTCTATAAATAAATAAAATATGACGTTATTAATATATACTACGTCTTATATATTTACAGAACCGACGTGGAAAATATGTTAGGCTCATGACTTACGAAATATTTATTCCTATAAACGACGTAGTATGTTATATACAACGTCGTGATCATGTAAAAGATAGCCGTGTTTCTCTATTTATACGTCGTCTTTAGTAAAATAATAGTCGTCTAATCCATCCAAGACGTCGTCTTTTGTAACGTTCAGGTTCGATATCTGTCCTTTTAGACGTCGGTATTATTATACTGAAGTCGTGTTATTTGTAATTACATGTCGGCTCTTTATCATTCTCCGACGTGATATCGTAATAACTGTTTTACAATAACGTCGTCTTTTTTCACTTTTTGTTCGCTTTTAGACGTCGGTAAATTTAATGCCGTCGTTGAATGCTCCAAAACGTCGTTTTAATTGACAATTTTATGACAACAGACGTCTGTTTTTCACAGTTTTTATAAGGACCGTCGTTTTATGTACTGATTGTTTTGTGTCCAAAACCTGCATAATGAAAGTGAAGAAAACACATTACAATTTATTACAAAATTAAT